ACATCTTTTTTACATTGTGGCGACCAAAATTGAATGCAGTATTCCAAGTGTGGCCTTACCAGGGAATTATAAAGTTGTATTAACACTTCACGTGATCTTGATCGCTTTTAAACTTTAAAAAGTCATAGATCTAAAAGACTTCTAAACAGTATATAAATAAGGGTTTTTTAATTTAATGAATTATCCAATTTTAGTTGAAAATGTTCTTCAACTACTACCAGCATAACAAGATTGTGTACAGCTGTTTTTTCCAACAAATTTATCAACTATATCAATAAAGAAGAATATATGTAGCTCAGGGTAGAAATGAGGGATGCTAGCACTGATGATGTTGCCTAGTTGGGGTAATGAAACATCTGCAAGAAAAAAGCAAGCTCAGAGAACACCAAGGACCTCTCATTATCAACTATATAGCAAAACTTTGACTGATTTAATGGACTTTGTATGTAATTTTCTTAAGTAATTTACATAATTTATGTCATAATTGTGCAGTTGATGTAAATACCATTAAATCATTGTGACAAATTATTTCATATGTGATATCACACAGATGAAATAATTTCTAACAATGATATAAATTCTTTAAAGACATCTGAGAATAATGGGCAACTCCTTCTTCAGAGTACTCCATTAAAGCAAGATTTTATTATTTCCAAATTATAGGGAAAAGATCCAATGATTAAATCTTTATAATAGGAAAATTTGAAGTGTGCCCATTGTTCTTAACTATTTTTCCACAGTTATTTAAAGTAATAGTAAATTCACACTATTACGTGGGAAATCGCAACATAACCAAAATGTAAACAAAAACAATATTCCATTAACAAATCCAGAAGACCTAGATTTCAACATGTTTTCAGTATTTACTTGGTATTAGCTTTTTAAGTAATGAGTTGGCTTTCTAAAAGTTTCTTTGTAGCTTCTTATGAGAACACTGGATGTAGTCTAGATTATCATATAGCATATCTGGAAAAATCCACAGTGCTCTCTGTAGCGTGCTACTCTAGCCATTTTGTATATGGTCTGCCATTTTCTAGAAGTTAAAAACCAGAAGTGGTTTGTCATATTTTGGATGAAATAACCTGTAACACAACCAGAACACCCCTAGAATAACAGAAACTGCTATTGTTTGGAGCATTAAGTCCAAAAAATGGCATACCAAGAATGGGTAAAATGGTATGGATATTCCAAAGGTTTTAAAAACATTCCATTTCCAAAATTGTAAGTTGGTTATATGCTATTTTAGATCATTTGTTATACAATTTTAGCTTAACATATGCTTTATGTTGTTAATTTAGGTTGTAATTCAAGGAAATGATGATATTGCCAGTCGAGCAATAGATCTGCTGAAGGAGATTTATACCAACCTTGGTCCAAGATTACAAGTTAATCAGGTAAAATATTTCTTTCTATAGGAAGTTTTGTTGCAATTTCAGAAGAGTAAAAATCTTTTTTGTATATAGTCAACCAAAGAGTCCAGTCTAGAAATAATCACAGTAAATACACATTTAATATTGCTTTCACAATATAGACATGGTTAATAATATATTACCACTACCACCAAATGTTCTCTGACATAAGCAGATATATTTATCTAATTTGGGTGGTCCATAACTTTTATTATTTTAGAATAATGTAATGTTCTGTGGTAAGAAAGGTTCGACTAGTGAAGACCTGCTATTTTGACATTAATCTTTGTTAACTGGAATAAAGTATTGATATTCTGTCAGACTACATGACAGTTATAATTAATATTCCTTGTATTTTGGGCAGTGCTTATACCGCTAGAGTAAACTATGTTTGGCTTGTTAATGAACTTTTAAAATATTTTTTGGAATTATAAAATTGGGGAAATCTGCATTTCTACATGTAATTTATTGAAAGTTTATTTTTCAAATACATATTATTTATTTCCTTTTTTTGAATAATTGATAAAGTATGGCTCTTTTGGCATTTGTACAGGTAGTTATCCATGAGGACTTCATTCAGTCCTGTTTTGATCGTTTGAAGGCATCCTATGATACTTTATGTGTACTGGATGGAGATAAAGATAGTATTAATTGTGCAAGACAAGAAGCAATAAGAATGGTGCGAGTGTTGACTGTTTTAAGAGAGTATATAAATGAATGTGACAGTGATTACCATGAAGAACGAACAATTCTACCAATGTCAAGGTTTGTGGAAAAGTCAGTTTCCTAGGGTGCAGTAATTGAACTATTAATTAGATATGATTCAAATTAGTAGTTTTATTACAATAGGATACATATGTTTAGGATTATGCTAATCAACTTATTGTCTCAATTATCTAAATATCAAGGTTTGTAAGTGCAGTTCAACAGAATTATAAATGTCACGTTTATTATACTTGATACATGCAAGAAAGATATATTTTATCTGACTTACAAAATAAATAGCCATCCCTTTCAGAAGAATTCAGAATAAGAAACACATTTTCTTATTAGCAAATTGTCAATGTTTTAAAAAGGAGTAAAAATATTTATTAACTGTGTTTTACCATATTAACATTTTTAAATATCCAGGATAATTTTAACTAGAATTTCATTTCTCTATATTTTCAGAGCTTTTCGTGGTAAGCACATCTCTCTAGTAGTTCGTTTTCCAAACCAAGGTCGGCAGGTGGAAGATTTGGATGTTTGGTCTCATACAAATGATACCATTGGTTCAGTCAGACGTTGCATTCTCAACCGTATTAAAGCCAACAGTGCACATACCAAAGTAGAATTATTTATTGGAGGCGAATTAGTAGATCCCGTAGATGATAGGAAATTAATTGGACAATTGAATCTGAAAGATAAAACAGTAAGTACTAAGAAAAATTATATACTGATAAAATGTGTGCCCATAACACTATAAATATAATCTATAATGATAGAATTATGCATTAGTAAACTTGCACACTTGTGGTTTAATACATTCAGAAGCTTTTAAAAATAGTTATGCACTACTTGATGTAGTTTATCAATTTACATCTGCATTTTACTCTGTCTGCAGTTAATTACAGCAAAGCTTACACAGATAAGTTCCAATATGCCTTCAAGCCCTGATAGTTCCTCTGATTCTTCCACGGGTTCTCCTGGTAACCATGGCAATCATTATAGCGATGGTCCAAATCCAGAAGTTGAAAGTTGCTTGCCCGGAGTTGTAAGTAAAAGAACACATGCATCTAAATGTATAATACTAGGCAAACATTTAAAATTTGCATCTTATGACAAATTTCTATTTTTATTGTAGATTATGTCACTGCATCCTAGATACATCTCATTTCTTTGGCAAGTTGCAGACCTAGGAAGTAGTCTAAATATGCCATCTCTTAGAGATGGTGCACGAATCCTTATGAAATTAATGCCACCAGGTAATTTTTTTATTCTATAATTTTCAGTTAGAATATATATTTGCAAATGGAAAGATCATAAAGTGTTTATATAAAATCTGTACACCCATATCCAAAATTTTAAATTGACACTCAGAAAAATACAACATCCTTCACTCAATTAAAAGATTGAAGGCAAATGAGGTCCAGGCAGAAGAAGAACATCATGGCTTCAAAACTTAAGGGATTGGTTTGGACAAACTCAGCAGCACTTTTTCATGCAGCTGTTGAAAAAATAAGATTGCCAACATCTGATGACGGATATGGCACGAAGAAGATGATACACCTCTTGTTTTTGACATGTAAAAATATCATACCAATATAGATCATTTCAGATTTCCCACCATCTTTAATATAACATATAAGCTATCCAGCCAAAATCTTTCAAAGGGGAAAAATAAAAATACAAAAATATAGTTTCATAAGTGTGCGCACCTTTAAACTAATATTTTGTTAAAGCACAACGTTCGATCCACCAAAGGGGTCCTGACCCATAGGTTGAGAACCACTGATGTAGACCTTGTATCCTCCTTTCCCAGGAGGAAATGGCTCACCTTAAAGAGGGTCGCTGGCCGATTTATGCCATTACAATTGGTGCAGAGAAGTACTTAATGCTTCACTACCTGAATTGCTATGAGGTAGGCCTTAATAGCAGCTCTTACCTGTATTCAGTTGTTCACCCTGTCTTCCACCAACAGTGCTTTAGATATCTCTTGATCCGTTTTGCCCCTCTCAATTCCTTGAGGGCATTCTTGTACACAGCTCTCTTAAGGTCATCACACAGATTTTCAATTGAATTCAGGTGTGGGCTCTGGCTGGCCTATTCCAAAACATTGATCTTCCTCTTCTAATGAAGCCATTATTTTGTTAATTTGGAAGTATGCTTTGGGTTATATGTTTTTTATATATATAAAGGTTTTTTTATTTTTTCATTTTCATAACATATAATCACATGTATACTATTATGTAGCCAACATCATATTGTATTATTAAATATTTACATTAATTCATCTTACCGTCAACTCCCAAAACCAATTACCTTATCAATCACTTTCTTCTCCCTCTCTCCTCCCCTCCCTATCTCCTTTCTTCTCTCTGTCATCCTTCTCTTCTCTACTTCCACTTCCTCTCTCCTTCTCCTCTCTCCCCTTTCTACTCCTCCTTTCTCTCCTCCTCTTTTCCCCTCCCCCGCCCTCTCCTATCCCTCTCCTTCCCTTACCTCTCTCCTCTTCTTCACACTCTTCATCTCATTCACTTGGTGTATTTCAGCTTCTGAGCAAGCTCCATTTTATGGTGATGGTATTTATAATTCCTTTTCAATATACATATATCTTCCTCTTTTTTTGAAAAAAGTAGAATAAAAAAGTATACGTACATAGTCATTGTGCTTTTAAACTCCCAACCTAATTTTGGCCGATATGTAGAACTGGTTAGAATTCCCAGCTATTCTCAGCATTATATTTATATAATTATACATCGTTACGCACCCCCAATTTGTGATTCTGTCTTTAAATCTCAATAGTTTGCCATTGTGAGTATATTTCATGTTCCCTCTCCATTTTCCATATCTTGGATTAGATTACTCTTAATTGTCTATAAATGGCAATCCTTACTGTTCAATGTTCATTACAATTCCATTAATCTACTATATAAAATAACAAGCGGTA